TTTCAGGGGGTTGAGTGTAATTATCGATACCACAGGGACGTTACAGTTATTTAAGCATACGTCAGGGGTGTGGGTGTAATTTACCCTATATTAAAACAAATCTACGTCTTAGGTCCTGCCACGTAAGCACCCTATCGATCATTTCATTGGTTGATAGTTAAAACTGCGGATCGTAGTCTACACTACTTCGTCTAACAGATCTCCACCCTCGATTTCATATCTAATCCAACGGTGGTACAGTCATCTTCCAAACGAAAAATTTCAAATCCCCCCAAAATTTTTGAACCATCCCGCTCACCAGATTCCCAAAAGTCCTATAAATTTCAACCCTAAATCACCATTTCCATATCGCCATTCATAATTACAGCAGCAAATACAAAAAACAGAGTGTGAATTTTTGCATCAGAAATCAGCACCAATCAATGGCGCGTACAAAGCAGACGGCGAGAAAGTCCACCGGCGGCAAGGCACCACGGAAGCAGCTGGCGACGAAGGCGGCGAGGAAGTCTGCTCCGGCCACCGGAGGAGTGAAGAAGCCCCACCGTTTCCGTCCGGGAACTGTGGCCCTTCGTGAGATCAGGAAGTACCAGAAGAGCACGGAGCTGCTGATCAGGAAGCTGCCATTTCAGAGGCTAGTGAGGGAGATTGCGCAGGATTTCAAGACGGATCTCCGCTTCCAGAGCTCCGCTGTGGCGGCGCTGCAGGAGGCGGCGGAGGCTTATCTGGTGGGTCTGTTCGAGGATACGAACTTGTGCGCAATTCATGCTAAGAGGGTTACTATTATGCCCAAGGACATTCAATTGGCTAGGAGAATTCGTGGGGAGAGGGCTTAAGATTTCACCACTGGTTTTAATTTCTGAATTTCTGATTTGAATGTTTGTAGTCTACGAATTAGGGTTTTGGATGTTGATTTGGGGATTTTTGCTGGTTGAATGAAAGTTTGGATGTAAATTCTAATCCCGATTGAATGATTAGTTGGAAAAAAAATATCATGTTCTATTGAATTATTAGCTTCTCTCATTTGAATCTTCATTACAATTTTCTTGAGGGTATTGTAGTCATTTCTCCTTCCTGCTAAAAATCTGAAGCTGCTCTGCTCATTTTGTTTTAGTTTGTTCATACTTTAGCCGAGAAAGATGTCAATTTGCTTGAATTATATGAATTAATTGTTGAATCCATAACTTCAAATCTTTCTATTGAAATGCAATGGGGGCTATAGTGCAGAAACCTAATGCAGTGATGGTGGCTCTGCACATGTGTGTATTCGATAACTTCATTCGAACAACGGCAAAGTAGACCAATGGACAGTTTGTTTAGAGCAACGGGCTTTCAACATTACTACACATCGTAGAGGTTTCTTACACCTTCACTATCATATCTCAGAAAAATTGTGTTCTCTGAATAAAGAATAATCAAGCCAATATCTTGTGTGATGGTACATTTGATATTGTTTCGGTCATTATTTGCACTATTTACATAGAAACAAAACAAGTGTAATTTTCATGACATTTGCATTTGCAGATCGTGGGACATCAGAAAAGGCAATTTCAACTACCATCAGTTAAGACAAGATAGCTTGGTAAGCACCTTGCACATATACATGTTTGGTCATGGGTTCGAGAAATCACGATGGAAATTGCGGAACCAGTAACTACCCTCTTAATTGCGGAACCAGTAATTGCGAAAAAAAAATCTTCAACTACCATCAGCTTTTGCTCTGGTTTACAAGTAACTCTATCTATCTCTATCTGATGGAGAATTATATCAATTTTTTCAATTAATTTTGTGTACTCGAGATCTGAAAAAAAAGTTTGCGGGCAAAGAGAAAGAGCAATTATTTGACGGGACGACGGGAATTATATTCCCGGTGGCCCGTAACATAAAGCTCCCTCTAATCATTGTACTAAACATCATGACTAAACAACATAAAACATTGTTTAAAAATAGTCAACGTACTCCAAATGCATATATATATATATATATATATATATATATATACACACACACACACACACACAGGAACACTAATCATAGCTTACGATCATATATATGTCTCTTGGATTTACAATATAGTTAATGATGAATGCTGGTAAATGGTAGTAATCATCATCTCTCAGGTCAGGTGAGATGTTGCTATAAAACATGTATTATATGTAAGAAAGCCAAATATATAAAAAAGAAAAGAAAAGAAAAGAAGGTAGGCCGACAAAAAACGAGAAAAGAAAAGGAGAAAAGGGAAGGTCGTAAATATAGTATAGAGTATTCGAATATAAAAAAAAAATAAAAATAAAAAAAGAGTTTAATTTAATATAATATAATTTAACCCCACAATGAGTCATCCTCCTCCATGTTGTGGTGGTGTTGATCAACCATGTCCATGCTAAAAAGGGACTTGGCCTGATGGGATAGTTGACTCATGTGTGATCTTGATGACGGGGATGCGTTTTCCGGGGAATTGGTGACGTGGCGCATGCGCATGTGCACCACTTCGGCCTGTGCCAGCGCTAGCTGTGTCTGCAGCATGTCGATCTGCTGCTGCAAAGACGATATTGCCCCTACACAGCCGTAGACGGGATCCCTTACCCTTGCGTTGGCTTCGTACACCATGGAACTTACGGCATCGCCCCTTTGATGCTCGGGCAATTCCTGAATAGTTAATGGTGGTACTTAATTTTCTCATTTTTTTTTTGTGTGGATATTTAAAAGCCTAGCTAAATTATCAAGGACTTATTATATATAACAAGAAAAAATTTCTTGCAAAAAGAAACTAAAATAAATAAATAAATTAATTATGATTAAATAATTTTTTGCAAAGCCAGCCAATAATGTCTTTTTTCGGCCACTAGC